TGCTTCTCCCCCGCGCCCACCACCAGCTTCGAACCCGCCCCCGGTGCCATCCTGGGCCCTGCACCAGCTCCGGGCTCACCCGTCAGGGCTACACCGCGGCAGCAGCTGTGGCCCCCCCCACTTGCCGCACTGGGCAGTTTGCCACTGTCACCTCTGGGTTGTCCAGCACATGAGCTCCAGGTGGGCAGCAGCAGCAAACACTGCCCAGCGCGGCAAACGGTGGGGCCACAGCTGCTGCTGCCATGGTGCAGGCCCAATGGGCAAGGCAGGAGCTGGCACAGAGCCCAGGCTGGCAGCGGGGGCAGGTTACAAGCTGGTGCTGAGTGTAGGCATGCCCAGCGCCCCACACTGCAGCCACTCACCACCCACATGGGGCTGCCTGTGCCTGCTCAGGACAGCCCTGTGTCAGCTGCAAGCAGCTGCAGCAGGGAGCATCAGCCACAGAGAGGGCGAGGGGTTGCTTTTCCCTGGGCTCAGCTTTTCCCCAGGCTCCTTCCCTGCCCTAGGTTCCCCCTACCCTCCCTTATCTGAGTTTCCAGCCCTGGTACACTCACATAGTCCCAGGCAGGGTCAGGCAGGCCCTGCTGTTGTGGGAGCCTGCCGGGCTTCCCCTGGGTCCTACTGTCCCAGTTTCTGTCATTTTTGACAGGAACCAAGGACAGATCAAAATTAATTTTCTAAATTTTTTACGGGCCCTGCAGGCCAGATAGAATGGCCTCACGGGCCAGATGTGTCCCACAGGCCATATTTTGCCCACCCCTATGTTAACCCCTCACAGGCTGGAGGTGGCCCTGTTGGACAGCTCTGCCTTAACTGAGTGAGAATCCACAACTGCTCCATCCTAATTAGATTAACCTGCATAAATGAGACTATCATTTTTGTTCATACTGAACAATTCTTAAAAACAAAAAAATTCCCATTGTTGCTATTTCTGCTTAATGTGCACCATTCCTAACAATATTGGGATGCCTGAAAAGAAAAGCTTGTTTAGGCCTTGGCTTCTTTGCCAACAGTTTACCAATCTAACCTGTACAAAACAAAATGAATAATTGGTTCTCCAGCATCACCACCACCACCACATTTTACTGTAGCCCAAGAACAAAAAAGCATATGCCCAACCAAAGGACATGCCTAGATCCTTCTGCTTTGAGTCTACACTATGAGAATTCCAATAGACAATACCTTTCAGTAGTTCGCAATTGTACTTGCTATAATTCCCCAAAGAGTCCAGACGCAGCCAGTTGCCTCTCTGTGTCCAGTTGACTTTCCTGACTCTGAATACTTCATAGGGGGGGATAAGGACCTCCCTCTCAGATGCATAGTGGGAGAACTGCTGCACAGGTGCTCCCAGGCAAGTCTTTATGATGAACATTGTTTCGGTCCCAAATTTCTTGGCTTCCTTCCAAAGGAGAGAGGAGGAGGCAAAGCGGCCAAATCGCACTGTACTGCCAAGTTTAGCCTCAAAATGCAGGCCTTTTACCCCCCTGTATACCTGATAGCACTTGTTTGTTGTTGTGCCACTTCCCCACCTCCTTACCAGTTGAACTGCTGTAGTCAGGTAGAAGTGCAAATATTTGAAGGGGAAGTTGTGTCTGTAGTGCCCTGGAGATTTCCCAGCTCTGGATATAGCCTGGTTCAAGTCAGAGTGTAGTGGAGAATTCATGGTATAAGCAATGAGGGCTATAGAGTGATTCTCCTGCATCTCTTTGAGCAAACTGGTTGACATCATTGCCCAAGCCTCTTCAGCTTTTTCCCAAATGCTTGAGTAGTTCTCATGAGCACCCAGTTCTTTTTGGAAATAGTTTCCTTGTTTCAATTCTTCTACCACCTGGTTTCTGCATCCATCATACCCGTCATCAAAGGAATCTGGTGCCATATCCATGAAAATTTGGGGCACAGCCTACAACATATAAGTCATGCAAGTTTATTCTAAAAAATATCTCTATTGAATAATATTTCTATTGTACATATACTCTTATGGCTTTTCCTGGTTGTATGCTATTCACATGAATAATCTTTACTCATCTAATTAATCTACATAGAGCCAAATGAACTAATTTTATAATTAACCACTATTCCAACGGGTAAGAATTTGCAGAAGTAGGCACCACAACAGGAAAATAATATTTAATATACATTGTTATAAGGTTATATAGCAGATTACCTGTTGACACGGTTTTTCCTATTAAAAACCTGCTGTTATGAAACATTAAAATAACACATATGACAATATCATTGGGCTGTTCTTTTTGCTGCCTCATTTCTTATTGGGCTTTGGCCAACTGCTATGTCCAATTAGTTGACATTTGGTTGAATAACTACAAATAGGTAATCAGTTTATTTCAAATCATCACTCTTCATGTGCCCGTGGGGTTACAAAGGAATATCTTACTTGGCTTTTAGAATTAATAGCATGAACCATATTGTTTTATTTGGGCTACCGCTTCTCTGACCATGTCAATCTAAGTCACTTGGAGGGTTGGGAATCCCTACTGCAGACAGGGGATATAAAACAGCAGATGAATACATCTCTGGACAGATTTTAAGGCAAAAGAACACTTTTCTGAGAACAACCCACAAATATTGGCTGGGGAAAAATCTGACTTGAAACTATCATTTCTAGCAGCGAAGTTAGAGGGATTAGAGTAGGTAAGAAATGGAGCAGAGCCAGTGAAAGCAAATTAGTTTTCATGCTAGGACTGATCCAAAATTCACTGAAGATAATGTAAAGGTTCTCTTTGACTTCAGTGGGCTCTGAATCAGCCATTCTTTAAGAGGTTACACAGTATTCAAATAAAGTACAACCTTTTCACCCCTCACCAGCCACTCCAGGGAGAAAATTAGCAGCAGGTTGGTCAGTAGATCTGTCATCATTCCAGAATCCAGAGTTCCACAACACTTGGATCACTTTGAGCATCAAGAGGGGTTTACTCGGTTTTCTAAAGGTGTCCTCCTCTTTTCTTTTGTAAAGTAATACACTGATTTTTTTTTAATTCTGTAGTTTGGAATTTGCGGTTGGATTTAAGTCGAGATTCTTTCTTAGCTTATTCCAGAGGTAGGGATAATCACCAGACTCTTGCAGAATTGAAGGATAGGAGCTTTGAACCAAGGCAAAAATGCATTGGCAATAATAGCTCCAAATTAAAAATAATATAGACAAAAGCTACATACAAAAGGAAGTGTCTGAGTCCTTTAAAACCTGAGGCAGTTTCTCTTCTACTCCTTTTATGGTTGTTATATTCCCCAGGTCTTTATCAATTTGCTTAATTTCAAAGTCACCTGCATTCTTTTTTTCTTCCTCCTTCTTTGTTCTCCTTACACCGTACTCTGTCCAAATTGTGTTAATAGTCCAGAGAGAAAGGAGACCCTCTCTTTGACATGTCAAAGGAAACTCTCTCCTGTGTATTTACATGACAGCATGAAGTGAAGAGGGAAGTCTCCAGTCCAGAGTTTAATGAGCAGCATTAAAAAGGAGTGCATGGGCTCTGATAAAGGCAATAGAGAGGTGGGTTTCTCATTCAGAACCCATCTGGGAGAGCTGATAATACAGACACCAATTCACTTCTGACCTCACCATCTTCTAGTTCCTCTGATAATGCTGTTGGCAATCCCACTCTAATTTTAGTTGAACTTTTTATTTTTAATTTCCACATGCTTAGGGAAGGCACATAAATGGATAGTCACAAAACCAGGCTCCCACTTTCTAATGTACCTCACAGAATGAGATTACAGGAACACTCAGTCTCCGTGGTCTGATCACTTCTCATGCTCTCTGCTGAAATTGACAACAAGGAAGCAAACATTTGTCAAAGCTGAAGGTGTTTTTGTGTAGTGTGGGCAAATTAATTAGGCTAAGAGCTACCAGCTCATTTCACAAAACAGCAGTCAAATGGCAGCAACTTTCATTCAGTGCTGATTTTGGTGGAAGTCAAACAAGTCCCTTTTTGTGGGCAGCCACATCAATGATTCTCAACCAGGGTGACACAGCAACCTGGGGTTCCTTGAGATCCTATCCTTTCAAGGGTGCTATGGGGTGCCACACAATTAGCACTGGTAGGTGTGCATACACGATCACATGATCAACCAGAGATTTCATGCAGGATACCATAGTGTGAAAAACACTGTGACCAGTTGTGGTCTTTCTGAAGAATTGCTCTATTATTGTTTTGTAGTCAAAATGTAAGTGAAAACGAAGAGCTGGCATTTTCTTAGGGGTGCTTTGAATCTATCAAGGGGTGCCCCAAATCCAAAAACATTAGGAACCACTCAGCTACATGTTCTACTCCTACTTACAGTCTGCACATGATCTGATTCTTAGGGGAATTGTGTCCAGCTTGTGGGAGGCAGTTCACAAGACATTTAGACAAACCTGAACATGCTTGGGGCTAAGTTTTGTGAAGTCATAAATAAAACAGCTCATTCTGAAGCCTTTTCAGCTCTCTCTGCACTGATAAGGTCTTCTTACATATCTCTGTAAAACACACCAATACCCCTGCTTCCCAGCTCCCACCCATGTAGCTTCTCTGGACTTCGTACTCACATACCATGCTCTGTGGCTTGTGGTGGTTACTCTGCACAGAAGAACTAACAAAGGGTGCCAAAGCATGGTTCTGTGTATATGGAATAATGGAATGCAATCTTTAGCTCAACTTGGTAGTACTTGAGGCAGAAAGGACTAGGGATGCTAATCAAGGAAGGTGTGCTGGCTGGTAAATCAGGTACACATGTGTTTATAGTTTGGTTCCTCATGAGACATAGGAGTATATACAACTACAAAGATGATGTGAGCTCATGGCCACCATTGATGTCGAAATACAATTAGGAGCTAGTTCATAATACCATGATAGTCTGTAGCATGGGGCTTGGTGCTGCTGCTACTTTAAGGACCGCAGGTGGTGGGAGAAGCAGGCAGCAGGTGTAACCAGAGTCAATCAGGAGCCATATGACTAGGGAGCAGTCTGGGCTAGACTGAATATAAGCCCAGGCCCTGAATGTAGCCAGCAGTAAGATCCTGGAGACTGCTGAAGAAACATCATCTCAGGAGGAGGGCTACAGCTCCAGAGTGCCAACACGGAGAATACAGCATGAAGCAGGCTGATCCTACAGGCTGCAGGGGAAAGTAGTCCTGGCTAGGAGCCCTGCAAGGGAGTGTCTGATGGGCTGCTGAACTGCCTTGTGATTACCAGGGAGACTGTGGGAGCTTTAGGGATATAACTCAAAGCTGGGGATTATGCTGGTACCTAGTGAAGACTGCCCCGGAAGTTTGTTTGCCTACCCTGAGGTGGGGCTGTGTGCTGTTTTCCTCCTTTGTTGATGTTGGTGGGTGCAGAATGGAAAGTTTGTGTTATAGCCAGAGGGCTTATCTTTTGGTTACAGTTCATACTGGTGGTTTGGGTTGGGAGTGTGAGGGGTAGTCTCTGGCAATCCCATTAGTGCCCTAGAGACATGTAGTCACCTTGAACCCTGCTGGGGGCAGGCTCAAGGCAGAGCCAGCACAGAGCCCAAAGCAGGGCAGAGCATGGGGCCACAGCACCCAGAGCGGGGCGAAGCCAGGGGCCCAATGCCTGAGCGGGGTGGAGATAGGGGCCAAGGGCCCGATGCCCAAGAGGGCAAGACTACAGCTGGTGCCTAGAAGCTAGGTCCAATACAATGGGCCTGGGCTAGAAGGCTCAGCTAGAGAAAAGGGGTGAAGGCTAAGAAGGCTGAAACTCCAACAGGAGAGTGATGGTACAGTGACATCTGGAATTCATGGGATGCAGTGTAGGGGCAGAGGGAGCCATATAATTAACCCTTAAGGCTTATAGGTGCCCTGAGGCACAGATGGACAGAGAACTCAAGAGCAGGGTCAAAGCCAGTGGTGTTCAGGAAGGACCTGCTGGCTAATGGATAAAGTCTCACTCTAGGACTCCCAAGGCAGCCTCCCTTTTGATCCAATAATTACATCAAGGCATAGTGGGTGAGATAGAGGGGAGGATACCCTAGAGGCAGAGCAGGGCAAGGGTTACGGGGCCATGGGGGGTGTCACAGCCACCCCCAGAACTCAACTGTGTTACACTCTCAAAAAGTTAGTACACTGTGTTGCAAGATGTGCCCGATGTGATGACACTTTTCTCCTGATGATGTAACATTGTAATGTAGAAGAAAAAGTAATGAAAAAAGCCAATCCACTTATAATTCTCTGAATCATTCAAGTACATCTGTCTCTGAATCTTAAAATATGAGCTTTTAAGCTGGGGGTAGCCAAGGGGATACCCTGACAATAAGACGAGGTAACCTCCATGTCTTGCATATTCCTAAACAAGCAGGATGTCATTCCTAAATACAAGCAAGAATGAAAGGGGCCCAATATGAAAAAGACTGCACACCACTGAGTTAGGGCATAGGAAAAGTCAGGAGATATTGAATATTCATGTTTAGTTCCAAATTTGAAATTCATAAAGTAGACTGGATATATAATGCCTTCTGCCTTTACATTGGACCTTTAGGGCTGTTTGTATGTATTTCTGTATGAAATTAATGGAAGGTTAGCCTGAACTTGGCTTACAGGGTCCCAATGTTTATGCGGAGCTTTGAAAATGTTAAAAAGGCTGTCACGGTGCAACTAATTTCATCGAATGAAGTTAAATGAAATGGCCACAAGGCGGCAGCAGAGGATCTACAAAAATGAGCTCTGCAACACTATATATAGCTGAAAATGGAAGTTACATCCCCCTGGCTAGGCCTTGGTCCCGGCTCTTCTGATCAGATCCATCCTGGCACCCATACAGAGATCTACCAGCTTCAGAGAGCACTGGATCTACACAACATTCAACTGGTGCAGATCAGACTGCAAAATTAAAACCTGGCAACTTTTCCGCTAAACCAATTAACTGAGAGGGAAAAACTGTAATAAAGGAGAAAAAAATTCAACGGGCAGTTTGATTTTTTTTACTTTAGAAGAAGAGGAGGAGGAGGAAACTGCTGTAAATAAATCGATGTCCAAACAATAGAAGGAATTAATAATATGGAACTAAATTCTGCTGTCCTTCTGTAAGCAAAAATTCCACTTGCTTTAATGAGTTTTGTTCAGGTAAAGCCCATGTGTTTGCGTAGTGTCCATTAGTATAGCTTCATTGGAATCAATGGAACTATGTTGATTTGCACCATCTGAGAATTTAGTCCCTGGACAATCCTGAGTGCAATATCCTGTTCTGGTTTTTGTCTAATAGCAGTATGTATGGTGAGTTTCAAATCTGCCATGTTTGTGCATTCTTGTCAGTTCTAGAATAATGGGTTCACTGCTATACCATTAACTGTGTTCAAATGGATATGGAAATTGCATTTTCCCTGAAGAGCAGAGAAAAAAAGTTTAATTCAGCTGACGACAGTGTAGGATGTACCTGATCCTCCTCCCATTTCACACCAACATACATAGTTACTCCAGATTTACATTTGGGTACATCAGAGGAGAATCAAGCCAGATATTGATGTTTCCTGCTCTTTAGTACTCAACTCCAAAAAAGTACTTTATCTTCCAACCCACTCCTCCATTCTAGTCAAATGTCCCCAGTAGAAGCCAGAGAGATAAAGAGAAAGAAGCAGAACATGAACCCACTTTACATAACCCACATTTATTACAGTCAGCAACTGGGGATGACTTCACCAGCCATCATGCAAATGAAAAGAAATCACTTGTTTCCAGTCTCTTGAAGCTTGCCTCTATGAAGATACTCATTTCTTCCTCACAGAATATGACATATGATATATGATGATACAAGAGAGGCTTCTGAAAGTTGATAATGCATAATACTCATAAAAGATATTTGAAGGAATTTGCATAGAAGAAAGAGGATATGTAAACCAAGCATTGACACAACTTCAACCCCACCTTAATTTGTTTTAGGTTTTTAAAAGTTCTATTAATTTTTCGTTCCGTTTTTGCCTTTCTCTGCGTTTTTCTCAGCCGGGACTAGAAACTTAAGAGTCAAATAAACTATGAAGAAAGGCTTTCCATCTGGCTATTTTCAGACAGACCAAAAACAAGTTGTACCATAAGAACCAGAAATTACCACGACCGTACCCCACTTCCTTTCAGATCCAAAAAATTCAGTGAAGCATATAAATGAAGGTGCTTATCTCAACGGAACTACCAATGCTGCTGGTGCTCATCTGTTTCCAAATAATACATGCTCAGAATGAGCACCAAATCCTTCTTCAGAAGAATATCCTCTTCCTACACTTGCTCTGGAGGTTTGTTGGCAGGTAAATAAAACAGGCTATCACACTTCACTGAGGAAGTTTAAAATACCATGGAGACCACAGGAGGAAAATGTCCATGGTGAAAGCTGCACAGTTAATGCTGAAGAATCCATGACTAGAAAATTGAAAATCGGGATAAATATTGCCTTTGTGCTCTCATTGCTGATGCACACAATTGAGGTTGGCCCAGTCTACCTTTCCCTTTTCTTTCCTTCCCTCCCACAACCCACATCCTTATAGGAATTAAACTCGACCCTACTTAGGTGAGGGAGGGGACAATCGCATCTTCAGTACTCTTCACTATAATGGCGATAGTCGAAACGGTATCTCATTTGCCTGGAGTGATATCTACAAGGTAAATATTCTTCACACTGCTCACGCCTCTGCTCCGCTGGGGACTTGTAGTTTTCAAGGTACCTGGAGTAGACAAAGAGAAAGACGCCTTTGGTCATAGTCTGTCACTGCACTGGGGCACATTCCATGCCACTTGCTGA